GCATGCCACATTCGCACTATAGTAAATTTATATAGTAATCTGAGTCACTTTTTACTATAATCATTCTCTGGTTGACTGGTGGATTACCAATTAAGAAGGATATGTCTATATTATTCAAATTACAATGTTCTAGTAGTTGTAGTTTAAGAGCTTGATTGATGTCTTGAACATTATAATTAAGGATATTTAGTGCAAATATAGAAGAAATAAAATAGTGTATTGAGTTAGATGATGAATTAGATAGTAAGTAACCATGTAAGAAAGGGTTGTTAACATTTATTGAGTAGAGGAAATAGATAGTGAGATAGTTGGAATATAAGATCTGGTGGGGTTAGTTTAGTTTAGAATTTTAGAGAGTTAGTTGGTTCATAGTTGTCAAAGATAAGTCATTGGGGGTTAGGTAAGTCTAGAAGTTTCATCAAATATTTAGAGATTGAGTTTGTGATAAAGTGTAATTTAATCTTTTCTTGTGTTTTGGTAATGTTTGTTCAGTCTTGCATAGGGATGAGTTTGTTCAAGTCAGAGTTGATGTAATTTAGCTAGAGCTTTAGCTTGTTAAGGCTTTAGAGTATTAGTAGTTTGTTGTTTGTGTTGAATATCAATCTAGTTTGCAGAGATTTGCATAAAGTAGTACAGTTAACTCTTTCTTATCCGAACAGCCTGTTCTTGGGTTTTTAGTTTAGTTCTCAAAGAGGTATTATAAGCTTATCCAAACTTTATAATAAACTTTATAAATGTCTTAGAGTTTTCAGTTTGGTTAAGAGATAGTTTGGTTTAGAGAGGTTCAGTTAAGAGAGAGTTGACTATAGTGTTTTCTAAGATCTTTAGTGATCTTTACTAACAGTTTTGGGGAGGTTATAGGTATAATTAAATTTATATATTTGACTTGTGTATGATCTGTAAATAAGTTTGATTTATCTGAAGAGTTGATTGTCATATATTTCATTAATAAAAGAATTGTAAATCTGTATTGTTTTTCAATATCAGCTATGAATTGCTTGGCAAAAGCTTTATCTTGGATAGAGAATGTGTAACTGTTTTGGGTTTCAACTAATATAGATTTGCAGATAGTCATAGTTTGTGGTAATCTAATCATTAGATAACTATTTAAAACTATAATATATATGGAGAAGGTCTGCATATTTTTTAAAGTTATTTGTGTCTTTTGGATTGTATGGGAAGTGCTGTCTTAAGTTGTGTGATAGTTGTTGAGGTGTGGATGAGAGTGAAAGTTTAGGTGTAGTTAAGTTAAAATAACTAAAAGATATTTTTTATTGAATTCATATAGATTTGCTAGTTTTTTTTTATATTTGGACAAGAAGAGGAGTTTAGAGCATTGAGTAATTAGAAATAAATCTTTGATAGTAGAGTGTAGTTTAAATAAATTGTCAAGAAGTTTTATGGGTTGTTCTTTGAAAAAGGTATTAGATAAGGTTTCGAATTTGAAAATTTTACAAAAAGCTGCTACAATGGCTTTGGTATAGCTTCGATTTTGTATAGGTAATTTAAAGGTAATATTAATAGTATATCATTGTGTATCTTTGTTAATGATTGAAGGAAGTGGTTAAAGTCTTTTAGATAAGATGTTTTTAATTATTTTTCTTGTATTCTTAAAGTTGGTTAGTAGGTTAATATGAGTAAAGTTCTTGCAGTAAAATATTTTCTAGATATTGTTGAGTAGGTTGGTTTTGAAAAAATCGATATTGGTTATATAGTCAATTGCAATTTTTTCTTTTAACTTTTCCATGATCTGGTTTCTATTATTCTTGTTTATAAAACAGATCTCATGATATCCTTTGTATTTTTCAAAAGCTATATTGTACAGTGCCTCAAACTCCTTTGGTATTGGGGTGTTGACTGTTTATCATGGATAAAAGATTTGAAGAATGCAGTATCATAAAAGTTGAATTTGGAGATAATTGCTAATAGTAGGTTGTAAGAGGTAGGTTGTAAGTTGGCTTTGTGTTGTAGAAAATTAGTTATTTGTTCTTTATCTTGTAATTCTTTGAGAATTTTATCATTAGACTATTTTTGCAAGTCAAATAGGATGTTTTTTTGTACTAGTACTTGTAGTATATTTTGGCTCTAAAAGAAAAAGAGTTTGATTTGTAGGTTGCTTTGTAGAGTTGAAAATTTTCAGGCTGCCTGACTATAGATTCGGGGTGTGTCAGATGGTGTTAGTTCTTTGAGTTGGTAGCTAGTAAGTACCCAGCTTGTATTTTGTAGGTTAGTATCTATTTCTATTTGGTGTGAGTAGTCTGGGTCAGTTAAATATGGTTTATTTGATGTAGTTGTGGAAAAATTTCTATTAAGTCTGGGGCATTAGGATTGGGTTGTGCTAGTTTTGGGTTTGTTGTATTTTTGGTCTAGATTGATGATGTTATGTGTGGGTCATATAATTCCATATAATCTACTAACTGGGGTGAGCCAGATTGTCTACTTTTTGGTTTAGTGTAAGGAGTATGGTAAAAGTGGAGTTGACAACCTTTATTGTTGTTGTTTCTTTTTGCAGTAGGTGGTGCTATTTGTAGGTTGGTTGTATAAAGAACTCTGATTAGGCTTCTAGGTTTGTGGAAGTTATATTTGTTGCAGTGCGAAAGAACTTTTCTGAGAGTGATTTAATATATAACTGTTGTTGTGATATATTAGGAGAAGGCTTCAAAGAAGCTTGTATTGGTGGGATGTAAGTTGTTTAATTACTTTGGCTCTTTTGTATCTTTTCTATTGTAACTACTTTTTATTTAACAAGTGGGGCTTGTTTGTCTCTAGGAACTCAATATTTTTTAGATAAAATACTTATTATAACTTAACAGTAGTTGTTTACTTTTTAACTATTATTATGATTTTTAGAGATAAACCAGAAAGAGTTTTTAGCAGTCTTTTTTTCCTACTAGTTCTATGAGATAATTCTAAAAATGTCTTTAATAAATAATACTAGTGAAAAAAAACAAATAATAAATAAATAACAAAAATAAAAAATACAAAAAGTGTAATTATAAAGAAGTGTGCTAATTAAAGGTCAAATTTATTATATTTTTTTTAGAAAAAAAAATTTATTTATTACTTGGGATTAATATGTATACCAGCCATACTATTAGAGTAGGAGTAGAGTTAGAGTAAATTGTGAGAAAATCTTTTTTTGTCAGTTATTGTATGGGTTATAAAAAATAAATAAATTTGCATAGGTTAAGTTATATAGCTGAAGTTCATGTAACTCTGTACAAAATTATAATATTTATTTTATTGCATGATGTTTAATATACAATCCTGTGCTAATAAGTAAATGAAAAAAGTATAGATTGTTATATAAAACCTAAGCAATAATAAACTTAATAATGTTCTAGTTAGGAATGTTCTTTATAAGTTCTATCTCTATTAAGTTCTTTAAATTTACATAACTAATTAGGAAGCTCATTTACTTATTGATACATAAAATCTGTGTGATCACGATTTTATTATTGCATGTGACAAATAACAGGAAGTATTTTGTGTAGAATTTGATTTTTTTTTTTAATCTTTAACGAGTCTGCTAGATACTTGTGAGTAAACAGAAGAATACTATGCTACAATACATTTTACAAAATATTTGGCTCTTTCTCTTATAAGTCTAACACTACTCGGTTTTCTAAAAAGGACCTAAGTGTACCCTGTCGTACTGTTTTTCTAACAAAACAGGTTTTGGTAATGACCCATCAGTGACCATACTAAAAGGGCTTTTTACTCCTCTCAATGAAGCCTAACATCTCTTTTTTCACCAACATTTCTATTTTTTTTTGTTTTTCTAAAACCTTCTTCCTCCACTTATCATTTCTTTCCTTTTGATTTTTCAGAACTTTACTTTCTTTTTTTCCTCTCTATGTCTAACCTTCTTCTTCTATTTTTCTTTGCGTACAATGCCCATCTCTTTCTCCCATATATTTACTGTCTGACACCAGTCTTTTCAAATAATTTCAAAAAAGCTATTCCAGACTATGTTTAAAATATTTTCAATAATCTGATTTGTTAACTTGTTGAACCGAAGCCATCTTTGGATTCTTCTCTGAGCTTCATGGCAAAACAAATCCTTAATTAGCCCTTTTCGTATACTAACTATCTCCTCATGCTTTTCTCCAAAAACTAGATTTATTATGTCATGCTTAAATATTCTTTTATAGACATTTTTTGACAAATTATTTCAGGCAAAATCTGCTGCTACCGACTAAATACTCCACTACAAAAATTCATATCCTTTATATTCTGCTAGATGATCATGCACTTCTTTGGCATTCGTGTTGCAGCTTAGGCAGTTTGGAGATTCATATAAGTCTAATCTTCTTTTATTCAATAGATCAAGGAGAGGTAAATTTTCTGATAGATATTTAATGATAAAGCAGGCTTTTTTACTTTTCCTGATTGTTGAACCTCACATTCCAGTAACTTCATTAAGCTTCTTCCACAACATCAACTAGCTTTTGTCATTATATCTATCATCTCGTACTGTATTAGACAAACTTTGTAGTTGACACCACTCCGCATCTATATACATATTATTGAGTGTTTTAATGAAAGCTTGAGGTGGTGCTTCTTCTAGCCAATTTTTCCAATATAAGATGCTTTGAAATCTTAAATTTTTCTCTACTTCTACTTGGATTGTCTCTGATACTTCACAACCTTTCTTTGCTAGTTTGTCTGCTAGATCGTTCCATTTATTATTACTATGTTCTTTAACTTTATTGAGCTCTAGAGTGATGTTTTTGGTTTTTATCAAATTTACAATTTTTTCTGTTAGAAAAAAATTAGACCGCTTTTGTGCACTTCTTGATGATTCAAAAAAAAACCTTGCTTCGATCGTACAAATTGCTGCCACATTATCTGTATATACTATAACCTCTGCTGCATTTGGAATTGTTAAGAGCATGGTCCATATTGCTATGAGTTCTGCTTTTGTTGACGATGGTCATTGAAATGCTTTAATTGACATTGTATCCAAAATTTCTTCCTCTGTATTGCTTATTTGAACCCATCTAGCTCCTATAATACAAATATGATCATTTTTACCTGAGCTTCCCACCAAGAAACTATCTGTGTAAAAAATGAACCTTTCACATTTCCTATTTAGATTTTTCCTAAAACTATTTACTAAAAGATACTTTGTTTTACTCTCTAGCTTCTTCTTCAGAATTAATTCTATCTCGAGATAGTTAACTATACTAATACTATTAAAAATTTTCTCTTCTAAAACTACACTATTTAATTTTTTCTTTTTTCTTATACTGGGAACCATATCTAGATTTATTGGAAACTTATGCTTTTTTCCTTCTTTATAAGGTCTGGGAAGCACTCCACGATATCTTTTTTTTTGATCCAACTTGCGGATATGCTTTTACTTCTTTCTTGATCAGTTTGACAACCTTCATATTTGACAATACAGATGTTTGATGATACTTAAGATGAGCTATCACACCAATGCTCAACAAATACTTCTTTTTTACCCTTTCGAGTTATCTTACCACATTCTTGGCTATTTCAATTAAGGTTGTATACAACCCAGTCCTTTACTCTTCGGTCTTCCAAGGTAGAGATCACTTTGAGCTCTAGTGCTAGTAAATTTGGGTTTGGTATATTAAAGTCCGCTATAACTTCTCTTGTGTCTGTATTTATAATTATTTTTCTTTCTAACTCTGTGAACCAATAAGCTTTCTTTCCCCAGCTTGAAAGGCCTAAAACTCTTTTAAGTTGTTGCCAGGTAATTATACTTTTTCCTTCGAAGTTGATTAGTTGTCCTATATATATCAGGCTGAATTTGTTTATATGCTTGCATGATCAACAGAAGCTCTTTGGTGATAGAAGGCTCCTTATCTTGACCATAGAGATTTTTGGAATAATAATATCCTCAATAAACATTATTTTGAGGTTTCTCCCTTTTGCTTTAAGAATAATTAAACAGTCCAAATTGCTTTTTCACAATTTCTCTAGAGTTGTTACCATATTTTTCGGCAAATAGTACCCCCCACGATTTGTACCTGGGATTAATCAAGTATTTATCACAAACATTATTGTAAAAGACCCGAGTATATCTAGGATGTAATTTATATAGTGCATGACTTCTTTTATGTCTTTTTTTTCAATTTCGTTATAATTTTATTAAATGATTAGTCAATTAAAGTATTCACCTTATATAAACTCCCCCATATAAAATACCCACCACCTGACAAAGTACCCACCGAGTACTAATCAAGATTTTGCTTCTAGGAATGTAAGAGACCCGGGTACTATTTGCCGAAAAATACGGTATATCTAATTCTTTAGAGGATTTTTCACTTAGTGCTGCTAAGAACCAACCTTGTATTATATGTTTATTTGCGAAATTTACTTCAATTCCTGTGCTATTTACCTATATATGAGGCTTGTTATCTGTTTTGTGAAAACTTCATTGCTAAGCTTCTTACAATTTTTGTACATAACTAGGCAGTTGCTTGTTGAACGTGCAAACTCTATTTTATTTTTCACTAATCTTAAAAAAGGTTGCTGAATTTCATTTAAATTCTTTTGTGAAAGATTGGTTGTTTGTAATATGTAGCCTAGCTTGGGAATGATACACATGTTATTGTTATAAGAAAGTTGGCTAAGCATCAGTTTTTTATAATAAAGAGTTTCACAAAATTGCTACGTAATTCACTTTGCTCTTGCTTTAATAAGTTTTTTACTCTTTCTTTGATTTAGCCATATGCCTAAAAACTGCACTAAGGTACTTTTCCCTTCTGCTACTATTTTATTTTGTGATAACATAATTGACTTTTCTTCTCTTGAGTTAAAGATTACAATTTTAGACTTTTTGGGATTAATTTTGATATCATTTATCTTATTGAACTCCTTTGCAATCTTTATAATTGCTTCTAATTGTTGTTTGTTACTTGCTACCTATGTTGTGTCATCCGCATATGCAATTGCTACACATCGGGTTAGGTAGTTCCTAGGGTATACTCTATTCTTTTCTAAACTCAGATCATAGCCAAGATTGGTTTCTTTTTATACATAACAAAGAAGTAGATCATAAAAGACTTTTCAGACCAAAGGTGATACTACTTCCCCCTGGTCTATTCTATTTATAGTCTTAAACTCATTGCTAATTCCTAGAGCCATAATAATTTTTAACTGCCATTCACCAAATAGGTCTAGAATAAAGTTGATAGCATTAGCTAGGAGCTTAAGTTGTACTAGGGCTTTTCCTAATATCTCTAGTGATGCTGAGTCAAAAGCTTTTTGCATGTCTTGCAAAAGTATCTAAAGTTCCTTTTTCTTTTCTATTGCCTCTTTTATAATTGACTTTAAAATATGTATAGGAGCTTCCATTGAATAACCCGGAAGTTTAGCAAAATTAAGTCCCTTAAGCACTATATTTTCTTTAAAAATTCTTAAGAGACACATTGTGAAAATTTTTGTAACACATTTCCTGATAGTTTCCAGTAATGCAATGGGTTTTATATTATTGAGATTGTAATCCCAGTCTTCATTTTTGGGGATCGCATATAGCTGAGCCAATTTTCACTTATTTGGGATTAAACCGGTTTGTATACATACTAGCACAAAGTTCCTAAAAATAGAGTGCGTTTTGCTGCAAGCTTTTTTAATCAAAATATAACTTATTTCTGAGATGCCTAGTGCCGAATTTAAGCTCAAACTGCTTAGCTTTTGGTTCTATTCTTTTTCTGAAATTTCTTGCAGAAGATCCTTGTACCAATTCTCTTGTATAAAGCTTATGAGTTTGTAAATATCTACCCATGCTTGTGACATATAATTTGGGTTTGCATTTCTTTTTTTGTACTAATTCTGGAAATGTTTTTCTATATGATGTATAACTTCTTCCGGTTCTGTAATAAGCTCTCTGCTATAATCTTGCTTTTCAAGAACTATTTTGTTAAGCACAATTTTGTTGTATGGTTTATTTAAAATACTATTTAGTATTTGGCCCTGCTTGTTAACTATCATCTCGCATCACTTGTCGATTTTTTCCTGTATTTCTTTGTTCCTACTAATTGTGTTCTCTATTAGGCATTTTTTCTACAAAATTTTTTTCCATCCTCTCAGATCCTGTTCTCCTTCGTCCAAGTTTTGTGCTTGTAGTATATCTATTTCTAGATCTAGAGTTCTATTTATACTTAGGATGGTATTGTTCGTTGATACTATCGTACTAATGTTTGATTGGGATATTTTGTTATCACGAATATTTCTAATAATCTTGCCTAGCTCCATTAAGCTTTTTTTTAAAACCATTTTTGTCTTAGATTTTTTCCTATTGCAGCCTGTGTTTAATATTTTTTTCCTTGGTAGAGTTTGGTTGGCTACTTTTATTATTGCATAGTGGATAATATCTTATACTTGATCTAATTCTTTCTATTCTGCGTTATTTCTTATTTGTGCTATATTTATTTTCATAAGAGTCTTACTACTTTCTAAAGATCTTTGTAGTACTGTAGCGTACTTTTCCCAATCTTCTGTACTTGCTTTGTCATAAAGGTAAATTGTTCTTTTTTGTTCATGTTGCTTTATTGTAGAGAACTTCTTTATCTTAGTCAAATGCCCAAGGTGAATCTTTACTATAGCTGCATTATGATTACTATCTGTCTACATACTCATATCTTTTATTTTAGCCTCTGAAATTTCTAAGCCAAGCTTCTTCATCAGCAAATTATATAAACGTAATCTTACGTAAGATATTACGGCCCGTAATATTGCACAAGAATTACAGTCTGGACATAATATAGTGCAATTTATTATGTAATATTACGCAATTTATTACGGAGTATTATGCAATTTATTACAGAGTATTATGTAATTTATTACGGAGTATTATGCGATTTATTTCGAAATATTTCGAAATATCGAAAGAATTTTATTACCGGCGATGG